TACAAATTGCCATCTTCAGTGCAGTTGCTTACTTCACCCTTAAATATTTTTTGTTTACACAAATGGTGAAAGAACTATGTTCCCCATCCCATTCAATAGTTTATCTCTTAGTGCTTCCATTCAACTTGCAGGAGGAACAGCACATTAGATGCTGCACATTTTGGTGCATGTGTGCCCACCTGAGTTTTCCCTCTACATAGAACTCCCTTTGATTCAGCAGACCCATTTGGGCAGGGTTGTCTTGTAAGAAGCAAGAAAGGACCTGTATTCATTTAGAAAGAGTTATATCTTTATATGGAGAAAATATAGTTTATTAAAACAAGCCATAGTGGGTGCTCATATAGACAGCCATGGACAGCACCCCAAAGACTTCTGCCTGTGGCCCAAAGGTAGAACTGTGTCTCCTGTGATTCCAGGCAGAGGGGGTCATGCCGAGTGCAAGCACACTGGAGTCATGCAGACTTGGGATTCAAAGGCAACTCGACATTAATAGCTTGAACTAACTTTTAGGCAAATAATTACTTAGCTTCTCAAGTGTTTCCTTATTGAACACCTGAGATCATCAACCTATCAGGAGGGAAGTTTTATTTTGGTTTACAACTTTGGAGGTGTCATTCTACCATCTGTTGGCCCCATTGTTCTCGGGTCTGTGGCAAGGTGACATGTCATGGCAGGAAGCATGGCTCAGGGTGAAGTTGATCACTTTATGGCTGGGAGGTAAGAAGAAAAGGGCAAAGACCAAGGTCTTGCAGTCCCCATTAGCCATACAGCCCCAGTGACCTGGAGATTTCCAATTAGGTCTTACCTCTTAAAAACTGCACACAGTTCTGGAGGGTGGAAGACTGAAAGCGAGGTGTTGGCATAGCCCACATTAGTAGCAATCCTCCTGATTTCTGCCTCCCACGTGCTGGGATTACAGGCGCGTGCGCCCAGACTCCATCGCTGGCTCAGTGCACCCGAAGGCAGGGCCGGCGCAGCAGGTGGAGCCAGGTATTGAACCCTGGCCCCTACGCTTACCTAAACAGGCGCTTAGTCTGCTGAGCTATACTGCCGGCCCTAGGGCTGTTTTTCTAAGGCTTCTCTCTCGAGCTTGCTGATGGTCACCCTTTTACTGTGTTCTAACATGGCTGCCCCTCAGTCTATATCTTGTGTCCTGATCTCTTTTCAAAAGGACACTAGCCATGTTAGGTTGGGTCCATTCCAATGGCTTCTTTTTTT